TCACACCTCGTTAGATAAACACACACGTCGAAAACGATTCAAGGCAAAGGTGTGGCGGCTGCTGATGTTGATGAAAAGGAATATTTTAAAATAAACAAGCAATATTCCATGCACATGTGATGAAAAGAAAATTGCAAAAAAAAAATAAAATTATAAAAATTTAATTATTGTAAAAGAAGTGCGCATTTTTTGTAAATTATTTTAAATGAATTTGCCGAGGTTAATCGAGTTCATATTTTCTGTAAGGATTTTATGAATACAAAATTTTCATTTTATTACTCTTTAAAATCTTTGGGAAAGGAGACAGAAAATGGATAAAAAATATAACAAAAATGTAAAAGTATATATAAAAAAATTAAATATATAAAAAAAGGTTAGTTAAATAAACAAATAATTAATTAATTAATTAATTTATTAAAAAAAAAATTAATTAAAAAATACTAAATTTTAAAATCTAATAAAATAATAAACGACAGAAATAACAAGTAGATAAATATAAAAGACAAATGAATTAAACAATATATAAAAATGAATATAAATGTATATATACATAAACGAAAAAAAAAAAAAATATTTTTGAATCAATAAAAATAAATGCGTGAATAACTCAATTAATACAAACAAATTTAATACTAAATTGTAAAATTGTAGTAAGTGCTATTTAAAAATGGTTTCTCATCCCGCAAAAATAAATCTAAACTTAGTATTATAAAATTTTCTGATTGAGCAATATTTGTTTATTTATTTACGTGATTTGCTAATTTACAACCGATTTAAGTACGGATAACGAAATTCCATATAATTACATACGTACATAAGCATAATATGCACTTGGTTTGTATTTTATTTTTTAGCGCGTAGTTTCCCAGAATTAACATAATGCAAATTTGTATTCTCACAAAAAAAAAAAAATATATATATATGTATATATGTATGTATGTATTTATATTGCGAATTAAAAATACATTTATTTTCTGAATTCAATAATTTTCTAAAAATAAAACAAATAGTAAGTTCATTGCAAAAGTATACACAACACACATACATACATACATATATACATACATACATACATACATACATACGTACATACATACATACATACACACATACATACATACATACATACATACATACATACATACATACATACATACATACATACATACATACATACATACATACATACATACATACATATATCTGAGTGCCTGTATAAATTCCACTCTTAAATTGCTAATTGCCGCGATAAGCTGACTGAGTGCAAATGAAGCAATGGAAAAATTAAATGAAATAAATAACATCTATTTTAGGAGATGATATATTATATTAAAAGAGTTATTTATTTGCATTAAAATGTATAGTCAAAGTTTGTGTGTGTGTTCATATTGTATGGAGGTGTGATTATCATTTTTGATTGTTTTTTTCAGATTTATAACTATTTTATTTAATGATTGATTAGGTTCGATTACGTGTGTTGTAGTTTATCGATAGAGAACAGTAAAAAAAGTAACTAACTGAGGTTATATAATATAATATACTACTATTTATTTTAACATCATTGATTTTGGCAAGCAGTTGGCGAGTCTTTCCAAAATAATATTGCCCGTGAAATAAATTTTCTTATAATTTTCTTGAAACTTTTTATTTTAATGCCAACGTTGCAAAGTTTAATTGAATTTCTCAAAAGTATTTTCAGTTCTGTTTACCAATTGGGAGCCTCGTGGGCCGCAGCAATCTCTCTCTGTCGGCTTTTAGCTTTGAAAATATTTCTGATATTAAATTTCCTTTCATAAATATTCTTTCTCCACATCAAGCAAACCACCATTTGTACATTTACAAACATACATACATACTCGTATATTATCTATCTAAAGTCAATTAATTGTACCATAGCAGCAATAGCGCTTTGTAAATAACGGGTTTGCTGGACCACCAATGCGTTTAATTGGAAAATATTCGCAATGCAAAAGGCAGCCAACAAATGTACGCCATTATCTCTTGTGATTGCCAATATGATTGTAAGTATGTATGCATGCATATATGGAATATTGCTACTGGCGCTATTGTTGTTTTTCTTTTCTCTTCAATTTTTCTCATTTTTATTTTTTTTTTTTTAATTTTTCACTTGTATAAATGCACTTTGCATTCCTTAATTAATTGCAAATTGTGTAGCCAATCATTGTTTGTTTATTATATACGCATTATACTAGAAGTGAGTACATACATATGTACATAAATATATATCACAAATATGTACATATATATGTATGTATGTATATGTGTATTGCCGCTGCAATTGGAGCACTTGACTGTTCATTGACTCTTTCTCTGCTTGCTTGTAAACAGTACAGTCTTTCATATATAAGTATGTCTGTGATTTACATTTTTTTTTTTGCTAATTTTTCTATTTGTTTGCATAGCTCCATGTGCGCTACACACTATTTACTCTAATAAAATATTAATAACAACTGCTTCAATATATTGCTTGGCTAAGCAAATTCGAGCGCTTGTTAGTATGGTGCCTTGTGCTTTCTATTATTATTTTGAAATTTTTTTAAAAAATTGTTTATTTTTTTTTTGTAATATTTATTTCAATTTATTAAATATTATTATATTTTATTTTATGTTACTTTAATTTTATTTAAATTGTTACTTTTTTTTTTAATTTTACTTTATTCATTTATTTTGTTCTTCGGCCTGAGTTGATTATGATTAAGCTTAAGCAAGAGTTAATAAAGTTTGAACATATTTTCCAAAAGACAAAGAAAGCTATTTCGAAGGATTTCCTGTTTCTTCATTATTGATTTAATTTTTCCTTTTTTGTTTCTGCGCATACTTAAGTGTAAAGTTTCAGCAATTTTTATTACTTTTTCTGAGCTGACGCTAGTCTTATTCCTCTGATTAACTAACGAGTTGCGAAAGATGAGTTGTTAAGCTTTGAAAATTATAATTTCGCACAGCTTGCTGCAGTCGTAATCAGTGCGTGGTATTTACTCACAAATGTACATACTTTTGCTGTTAATTAATTATTGTTATTGTATTGTTTAGTAATATCTATTTTTTATTTCTAACAATATTACAAAAAAAAAATCAGTAACTATAACGGTAGTGTTTGGTTTTAACTGTTTCAATCTCTTTAACATAAAATATTTGTAGTTAATTTTTTCTTTTTCACTAATTATTGAAGTAAAATATAATACATTTTTCCACTATTCAAGTAAATTTAGCATCTAAAATAAGTAAGTGGGTCGAGTCAGGAAAAGCAAGAGTTTGTTAAGCGTCGAGCTGAAATATGCAATTAACCGTTACAAAATGTGAGTCTGTCAAATCAAATGTGCTGGAATAACAACTGAAATTCGGGCGCAGTAACCGCGTGGTTAGCATTGTGTACTGTCTTTCGGAAGGTTCGAGCTCAATTTAAATAAAAATTTAGTTATATTTTCTAATTACGCTCGTCCTTCGGCAGGGATTGTCAACCCCTCTGAGTGTATTTCTGACATGAAATAAAGGCTCCTCAGCCGTTCGAAGGGGGCTTAGTATAAACTGTAGGTCCCTCGATTTGTTAAAAAAAAAACATCAAGAGACAAAACCACAAATTATAGACGGTGCTCGGTGGTGACAAAGCCCCAATTATATATACATATATATATATATATATATATATATATATATATATAATGATGTAAAAAGTATTTTGGTAATATAAGGGGCCTTTAAGTTCTTTTGACCGTTGCTTTATAAAAGCAAGGGCACCTTTAGTTTTCAACACAGTTGAATTAATATGAAGATTAAAGTTAAGTTTAGTTAACAAAATTACAAACTTGTTCTACAACATGTTTGTCTATTGATGTTAGATGGTGGTTGAGGATAATTCAAGAAAATATCATGGTTTTACATTTGTTAAGATTAAGATTCATATGATTGTTATTGCACCAAATTACTAAATTTATTCAATCGGTTTGCAAATAACACCTTTCGTTAAGTGAGGTATATGATTTAAAAAGCTTTACTTCAAGTGCATATAATACAAGTTTTGAGTATTTTATGGCTACATACAAATCACTAATAAATGAAAAAAAAAACAGTATCGAACCCAGGTGGCTACCTTGCGAGAAGAAATCTTTAAATAAAAGCCTTTGTTACAGAGATCATATGATATCCATTGAAGAAGCTTAGTCTGAAATCCATAGCACAAATATCATAGTCAGAGTTAACCACCTTCTACTTAACTGCCGACTGAATGCCACCCATAGAGAACGAATTTTTACTAACACAAATCCAACTTCTCACCTCTCAGTTCCCTCAGCCGAATTAATCCTTCTAATAACGAACTTTCTCAAAACAACGAATATTTTTCAAAAGATTTAGGCAAAAGGAATCTAAACCTAAAATGTAAATATGTAAGTAACTATTTAACTTAGGCCCTTGTCGCTATAGCTCCCAAATAAATTGCTTATCAGACTGATGTTGTAAGCTATATTTTATATAAATAAATAAATTGTTAAGTGTAAGATGAATTACTCTATCGATTGCTTTAATAAAGTCGGTATATACATATAACATCGGTGTTCTTGTTTTCCCTAAACCCATTTAAAACGTGAGTAACAAATTCACGCAAATAATTAACGATAGATTTCAGTTTGCGAAACCCATGCGGAGAACTGGAAATTAATGGAAATTTGGAAAAAGTTATTTGGGTAGTAATTATTGCTTCGAACAGTTTTGGTATAGCGATTGCCCTATAATTTTCAATCGAAGACCTACTACCATTCTTATGCAAAGGAATTATAATATATCTTTCATAACAAGGGAAAATACCTTGGTAGAATACCTTCATTATTAAGGATGTTCGATAAAAGCTTAAGGCCAACACGAAAACATTGCCTACATTTAGGCAGGTTTTGCATATAATTATCAATTAGAACCATTTTATACTACACAAATGTATTTTTTAAACACCAGCTAATAACTTCCCTCGCCTTTCTCTCTCTTTTCAGGTGAGTTGTCCCCAAACCACCAAAATCCACAATTCTCTACACTGCAATCCCGTAAGTTTTACTCTTTTCTTTTTAATTTTTCGTGTATCTTTTGTTTTATAATTTATTTTTCATTTTTTTTTTTCATGTCTTATTATTTCTTTTATTCCGTTTCTTTTATATGAAACCGCCAATTAACTTTACTCCTAACAATTGCATACAAATTGCTCCTCATATTTGTATCCACCCATATTCTTCATTCCACATTTATATTAAAATTTGCCAGTCTTTTATACTTTATTCACATACAACATATACCAACGTACATATAACATTATTTAATCATTTTTCTCCTATAAAAGATTTCTTTATATACTTGTATATGTATATATAGGCTATTCTCAACCATTGCACACTATATAACATTTATTAGCGTTGAAGATCTGGCACTGGCTTGAATAAAGGAGCTACAACCCGTCAAGCTAATGCGTGTGAGACGCTCAAATTATCTCATAGAGTCTTCTTCGTTGTGTAAGCATCATTCGCCCTCATTTGGGGTCAACTGATTTGCTCCACTTGATTTTAATTTCTTTGGAATGAATAGAATGCTTTATTCCTCATTTACTTTCTGTGGCCTCTTATGGGTACAAAATGTACCGGAAATTAAAAAAAAAAGATATAACGATATTATCTATTTTCCTTTAATATTTCTATTTTGCATTTTTGTTTATTTAAAAAAATATATCTGGCTTAGAAGCTTGTTGAAGCTGAAAATTTTAGAAGCACATTCAGGTGGCTTAATAAATGAAATTTTTGGAATTCTTTTCAATAGGCTTTCCTTTTTCTTATACTCTTGTATTTATAAAAAATCAACTTTTACCCTTATTTATCCTCTCAGCTGGTAGGTTTAATCCTGTCATGTCTGGCATCTACTTTCATATAAACACACATTGGTTGTTTGTCCTTCTGTAGGACATTCACTTCATTGAGCAGCTGGTGAAACTCTGCATTGCTAGTGGTAGGCTTGTACTATGGTCACACGTTTTTATTTGTTATTGACAGTGTAGAAATATTTTGTGACAATATCCTTGGTTTATTATACATCCATTTAGTATAAGGTATGGTACTAAATCCTTTAAGACAAAGTGATTATTGACCATAAATATGTGCGCAATAAATGAACATATGTGTTTATATAAATATATTTAATTTAGTATAAATACAATAAAAGCAATAAATTTTTTTACAGCTAATTTTTTCAAATTCAAAGCAAATTTAGTAAAAATTTTTTGTTAAAAGAAACACTTTCCATGATTTTCCGTAATTGAAGAAAAAGTCTTAAAACTCGTCGAGCTACAATCAATATACTCGCATATAATAATATTTAAGGCGGTTTGAATATAATTAAAATGTTTTTGTGTTGAATATGATTTTTGTTTAGCTGACAAGTAGGATTTCGAAAATCAAACTCAAGTATTCCTTTACAGGAAGTTGCTTACAATTGACGGAAGAGAAACCAAGCAGAAGCAATAATAACAAAAAAAAACTTAAGTTCGTCATACAGTTATTTATTAATATCGTTAAATATTTTGTTTTGATTTAACTGAATTTTCTCTATTATTAATATTACTACGCTTTCTTAGCTGAAATAAAATAATATATTGCAATTAAATTACCATCGTCCGCTTCAATGTATTCAAACCTCATATCGATTAACGAACCTATGTGCTACTTACTAAAAAACATGGCCTACAATTAGGCGCAATGTAAAAATTCTAAAATTTATTAATTAAATATTTTTCTATTTATAAGATTGGCTTTTAAATTTCAAAAACAATTATTTCATTTAATTTCTTTTTATTTTGTTAATTTCTTTTTGTATTTGTATATATAAATCAAGTTTTGTTAAATGAATTTTCATTTGCCAGATTCATTAACAATTTACTAGGTTTTTTATTGCATTGACTGAATTTAATTTAAACAACCATGTATTTCTATGCCAATTTGTTGTTTGTAAAATAGACGAATATCGATCGAATTTGCTATATTTAAATTCGAAGCGGTTTTCTGTTGTGCAGTGAAGCGTAATAAATAACCAAAAATATTCAACTCAAGCGGAAGCTGTTAAATTGCTCTAAAAAAAAGTAAAGAGTAAAAAATTAATAAAAAGTAAACAAAAATATTATTGGAATAAAAGACAATATTATGCTTATGCTATCGCCTTTAAAGAGAAATAAAGCCCTTGTATACAAAGCCGCGAGAGAATTTGATAAACGCACAAGCACACTTCTATATGCTGGAATTTATTTTTAGATACTCTTCTCCATTGTTTCTGTGCTTTTGTTTCGGCACTTTGTATTTGTAAAATGTCCTGGGTTTGGCAACAGACATTCCCCGCAACCCAAAAGGACACTTATCGATTGTGAAAAGTGGCTTGCCCGCTACAAGAAGACATCCAACGACCTTTGATACATGAGAAGATCCTTCAATCCTTCGCCGGCACTGTTTGTTTTTGTCTTTTGTTGTTGCTTTTAACTTGAATGGTAATAGCAATGGCATCTCAGCAACAAAAATCCGAACTCTAACTAACTGTACGGTTGCCTGTTTGGCTGGCGCTACCGTGTCTGAGCATTATTGTCTGGGTTGGGTTGTGTACACGGAGAAATGTATGTATGGACGTGAATCGGGCAACTTGCCATACTGGCAACATTGTATAGAAGCATTCCAGTCTAAAAAAAAAAAACAAAACATAAAGAACAGAAGTGGAGAAATAAAAACCCCAACAAAAAGAAAATGCTAAAAATAAAATCCAAATAAATAAATTTCAAAGAAAGGAAAAAATTAAAAAAATATACAAAAGTAATAGATGAAATTAAATATATATGAAAATTGCAGAGTGATTAGAGATATATAGATATACAGAAATAAGAATATAAAAATTCAGAAAATAAATAAATAAACAAAGAAATAAAATTGTAATAAGAAAAATAATATCTTTAAATAGCAAATAAATTAATATATAAATACAAACGGCAATTATAATCAAAAATTTTTGCATCTAGCGTATGCCAGTATTTCGTCAAATATGTCACTCTGTGACTTTTATGTTCCCTAAAAAAAAGTTGGTGGTGAAAGAAATCCATTTTGAGTCGATTGAAGACATCGAGGTGGCCGTGACGAAGGTACTCGCATATATCCTAGTCGAAGCGTTCCAGAAATGCTACGAAGCATGAAAACCGCTTAATAACCGCTGAATTGATTTTACGCCCGAGATCCTCCTACAATTTGTGGGTTAGCGGCTTGATGTTTTTCCAAAAAATGGAGGGACCGCCTCCGAACGGCTGATGGTTTTTTACGAGGAGCCTTTCTTTCATGTCCGAAATACACTCGGAGTCTTATGGGTACAGTGGACTCTTATGGATACAAAATGTACCAGGGGTTAGACATTTAATTTTTCATTTAAATAATATTTAATAATTTTTTTTGGGTGTTGGTGGCACCGGGATATGAACCCGAGCCTTCCGAATGTCAGTACGCGAAACTAATCATTCGGCTACCGCGTCCGCAATATAATATATATATATATATAAATAGCAACTACTAATATTCCCTATTTTTAAATTTATTTCACTTTAAAACAAATATTGACTGCAGACATACATTTTTCACTGCGTAAATACATACAAACATACATATGAGCACTTGTGTGTCTTTTTGGTACAAAAATAATGGCAATGGAAAAACAGACAGCGCCACATCGTTCAGCCGAAAAAACTGAAGGAAAGAACTTCACCTTGAACGGAATTCGAACGACGGGTGCAACGGTATTTGTTTGTTTGCTTTCATTTCATATTGTAAACATTTGCCTTTGTTCTGAAATAATTCTCAGACACTTATGTATGTTCCTTTGTAAGTGTAACCAAAACAAATGAAATAAATGTGGCGACAGCGGAATACTTTAAATTGTGGCAGGCTTTTAGGCGCAGACGAAAATTTATTAGCTACACTTTAAACGACTTGTTTTAGAGAGAAAGTTAGTATAAGTGGAAAATAAAATAATAAAATATTAATATCTAAAGCTATTGTGGAAAGTAGGAATGCATTTATTTCGTGTTCTGTTTAAAGGCACACAATTTACTAGCTAACGTTGCATATTTTCGGGCGTGTACGCTATGTTTACTAGTACTAACATAAAACATCGTCTGTCTTGTAGCTGTCGACAGCATTTCCTGTACTTCAAAAACTACTTATTTGCATTTCACATACATATGCACGTACCCGGTTGTGGGGTTATTTGTTATTATTTTCTGTTGGTCCTACCTTTTTTATTTGCTTTAAACTTACTTCTACTTAATTTTAACACTTACCGTACATATTTGGTCTTTCCAACATTCATATTTACCGTATGTTGCAAATTCATTTCCGTAATAGTTTGCCTGTAATACTTCCTGTTTTTCATTTAATTCTTACACTTTGCTTTGCCCTGTGGTTTTATATAACTCACATATACCTATGTATGTGTACCCACGAAGTAAATATTGCATTATGTGTATAAGTATACATATGTATCCTGGCGTGTGTGTGTATTTGTTTTTGTTTTGGCAAGTGGGTTTCACTTCCTTGTTGTATGGTAAATAGAATTTCTACACACTGTCAAGTACTTTCCACAAACTATTTTACTGTTATGTGGTGACATCTTTCATTGGGTTTCCTCGTGGAATGTTTAGTGTTTACGCTCACGCTATGTTATATATTATGTACAAAAATATATGCATGTTGACGGTGGAAATTATACATTTTAATGCCTGAAAACTTTTTTGAAACAAAATGAGAATTGACTAGATAGTTGGATTAATTAAAATAAATTAATAAAAAGAAATTATAGAACCACGATCTAAAAAAATAGCTTCAAATCAGTCCCAAGTTGTCTTCGAAATGGTGCAAACGACTTTGAAATGCTCATGTTGTCATCATGTCTTATGACGAAAAGTTCATAAATTAAATGTATAAACAACGCAAATCGTTGAGATCGACAGTCTCCATAGAGAATTCCCGTACGAGCCCGCAAATCA